CTTTTTTCATTATCTTTGTCGTCTTTCTCGTCACCTTCACTTATAACGTTTCAGCGAAACTGTGGACAAACAATCAGTAATTTTTGTATGAACACAAAAATGGAGAACTTCTCTGTTTTTATTATTAGATTTTAAATTGACACCTAATATCCTTTCACACGAGGTAAAAGAAAACATCTTTATACGGATAGAGATGTTTTTGTTGAAAAGTATAGCAAAGCATATTGCTGACGGCAATTTTCAATTATATATACCTACGGTTTTTTTCGCCGATACACCAAAAATAGCGGAAAAAAAGGTTTAGAAAAATGAACTTTTTTTTGATCTTTTTAGACAGTTCTTCTTTTTGGTTTAAGAGAAAAAAAAAAGAAGAAATTGGGGAACAGTAATTATTAGTTCTTTTTTTTCTTTTGATTTGACAAAACTTGTTAGAAGTTGGTTCTTTCTTCTTTTATTCCTACTCATATTTGTATTTTTTTTTAATGTTTGTCTGTGTGTGGTTTGTGATTTGCTTTTCTTTGTCTTATTTTGCCTCCAAATACACTTTTTTCCTACCAACCGTCGGCGTTTTAACTGTCGGAAAAGAGGGGAAGGAAACTGAGAGGAGTAAAAAAGGAATGGTGGTTACGGTTTTGTCGACACCTTTTTGTTCATTGATATTTTCGTTAGCTGGTGCTAGTAATGATTTCTGTTTTGCTGTTGATATAAGAATTGTTTTTACATTATTTTTACTGTTTTTTCTCGGGTGTTTAATGAATTGATTAAATTAAGGAAGAATTTCATTCTCCTCAGAAATTTGGTGATTTTTTGTTTAATAACACTGTGTTTGTTTGTTTTTCTACTGTTGGTATTGTTGTTGTGCTGATGAGCTATGATTAGAACAGTCAGATCATTTTTGTCGTCGTCAATATTACCGTCGTCAACGTTATCGTCACCAGCGTTACTATCAGAATTTTGCTAACGTTAATTGTTGAAATGTAAATAAGTATTAATTTTTGATTTAATTCAATTAATTAATTTTTTTCATTTTGTTGCAGCGGGAGCATTTCTTTGACGGTCACTCAGAAGCACATAATCATCTGCAACCATGTCGAAGCAAAGTAGCGAAACAAGCGAATACGAAATTGCGTATCGCTCAACCATTCAACCACGTACTGCTGTTCGGACACAAACTCGGCAATCTGGCGGCTTTCAACCAATCAGCGGTGGCGGAGGTAACTTTAAATTATGCTTTTTTTTTTTTTTAATCAGTAATTAGGGTTTAATTAATTGGAAAAAAAACAGAGACGATAGGCTTACTGTGCCTACTGTGCCAGAGTTTTACTGTATGCTATTGGATTTTGGGATGTGATATTTGGTGATATGGTTGACAAAAAATTGATGTAATACATCGGTCAAAGCAAATCAATCAATCAACAAAGTACCAAAATAAGGAAGCTGATGGGGTGGAATTGGAAAAAAAGCAGGCTGTGTTTAAGTTGCTAAAACAATTATGAGTGCATGAGTAATTTAGTGTGAAAAGAGGTTAGACTAAGTTTTTGATCTTTTTAAAAGTATTTTGTAGGTTGAGTTTATTTTTGATACTGCATGAAGCGAATGAATAAATAAGTGAATTCAAAAATAATCTGAAGTATGGTAAACATTTCAGTCGTTTACTGGGAATACTTAAACAAATTTCCGATGGCTAGGAAATTTAAGGAAGGCAAAAGAAGTAATTGACAAAAAAATTCTATCAATTACTTCCATTCATTCTGCTTCTTCTATATTTTGTATCTACAGTATTTTACTGAATGGTAGAGAAGAATGGCTGCGAGTGGGGAGTGGAGTAAGGAAAGGAAGGGAGGAAAAAGAAGAAAAGGGAAGAGAAGTAATTGTTATCATACAAAAAAGAAATTGTTTTACTTTTGTGCGTGATTTTTTGATAGAAGTTCACCGCAATTGAACTTTTCTCGACTCACAATTGATGAATGGTTCAGCTGCAGGCAGAATACCAAAAGAAAAAAATTAGTGAAGAGAAGAGACGGAAGGTTTCAAGTTCGTTATTAAACTGTTTTGTATGCAACTGGACTAGTTCTATTCCTTCGTATATGTACGTATAAGTTGAGATTCTGGGGTATAATTTTGCAAATGCAACAGAAAAAGATTTGTTTTTTTTTTTGAACCAGAATAGCGCGTGATACGTTAAACGGTATAATTGGTAAATAGGTGGGATATGGGTGTGAAGAGGGAGAGGTTACAATATTTATTAGTATCCAAAACTGATATTTTAACCGTTACGAAAAACCAAAAAAAAAAAAAAAAAA